CACACTTGTTGATTACAAAATACATATTAAAACTGGCAGGAATATGTGGATTCTGTAATGTTAATAATGTACGTAACATAAAACTAACTTGTGAGTGACATGAAGCCATAAAATTGAAGTACAAAATACTCGCTCGCCATGTCATAATTGTCCTTAGGGTTTCCAAGCACTATACATGACACATGAATGGCAAGCGCTGACGTAACGTGGCTGACTGTGCGTTCTGATAAAGCCAACTACATACGTAAGGCTAGGGTGAATCACGGCACTCAAGGACAAACATAGATAAGGCCTCTCAGCTGAGAGGTACAGTGCGTGGACCTGCCAGAAGACCACACTTTTCTTGGGCCATTATCTCCGTAACCGTTCAACTTTGGACATAGGTGTTTTGGGTTATATTGGCATACTTTAACATAAGGAACACCCTCCCGAAGTTTGGTCCATTCCTCCTGGGACACCTGTATATGTTTTTCCTATTTAGAACAGCGGGTTTGCAGGGAGAGAATAGGTGACATGCTGACTGAAAATAATATATATATTTTCTTTCCCCATACTTAGAACGGCAGGTATGCAGGGAGAGAGTAGGTGATATGCTGACTGAAAAAATCCTTTATATTGCTGAAGTGATGAACAGACATGACTATGTTCCAAAAATGCCGAATCAGTCAGAATTGGAACTTATTTTTGACACATCCTATCCAGATGTGCAACCATACTTATTTAAGGTAAGGTACTATTGATAAAAAAAAAAAGTAATTGTAAAATTCTTATTACGCCTCACAAGGGGCATTGTCCACTTGTTTTGATCTGAATCCTTTTCTTCAGATGTTTTATTGCAGCGGCCTGTGTTTCTATTCATAAGCCCGTTGTGTTATGTGTGCAATCTGTAATTTTGCCCTGTGCTTGTGCGTTCCCTCTAGCAGCAGTCTGTGCAACAATGCTGTCTCATGCTTAAATGTAATTGTGTTGATGCTTCCAAGCACTACAATAATAAAACTCTTCATATATTTATTGCAAATGTGTGAGCATGCATAATCAACTTGTTGAAATATTCACGCTTGCCATACCTACCTACTTTTCATATAATTTGACCTTAATTTGAACAATCATTTAATTCCAGGTCACATATGCAACTTCTGGCCCTACAAATACATCTGTAGGCACAACAATGAAGAAGTTAATCAAGGAGACATTGTTACTATGATTCCAAATATCTGTTGGAAGCTCTGAACTAGATTGGCCTTCTGTAAACACTTGGGACTAATGGAGTGTCTTGTGTGTAGTATGAACTGTGAATTAGCGTGTGGAGGAATTAGTCAGTTACAATCACGAGACTTTTTAATTATTTTATTTTGTTATTATTTACTAAAGTTGTAAATAATGTGTGATCAATTTTGTTAGTCATACGCGATTCGTATGTGAGTTTTTGAAGATGACTGTAAAAATAGTATAGTTGTGGGTGATTAATGGATGACAGCAGAATTATAACTAGTTCTCCTTTCAGATTTCTGACACACTTTAATGTGCTTTTTAATATTATATGCCTGCGTGAAGTAGTAATTTCTAGTCCCAAAGAAATGTTGTGGTATTGCAAATATTAGTCTTTGTTAATCCAGTCTCTTCACTAACTATTCTACCTTTATTTTTTAAAGGATTTTAATTTCTAACATTTTAAACATTTGTTATTGTTAATCACATTACTGAAAGTTTCCTCCTCATGTACGGGTTATAGATTGTGCTGCAATATTTTGGAGTTCTCATGTGATTCTTGATGCACTCTCTCACAGGAAAGGATCAGATTTCTTTGAAACCATTTTGAATAATGATAATGGGAAATACACCAATAATGATTAATCATGCAAAAGAAACATAATAGTAAGAAGTGCTACTGTTAAGTGTATTAAAATTGAGTGATGACATCTTGTTTCTTTCAGATTAAGTTAGCCTTTATTGAATCAGTCATGCATCGACTGGTGTATATTACTGCAGATAGCTTATCATAATGTACTTATCTTGCCACTGTGAAGTATTACATATGAACATCTGAAGAAGCTTTGAATTGTACTCACACGCAGGTATCCTGTAACTGGTAAAATTAATTATTTGGGTTTCAGAAGGGAGAACTGTAAAAAGAAAGAACATTATATGGTATTGAACATGGTGTGTGGTATTGAAGATTGTTAAATGATGAATTTTTATCAGTTGCAAAACAGTTCTGTGCTCAGCATGACGTTATGATGATGGCAGAATATGAATCTTTTATATCTCAGAGAATATAAGCATGTAATATTTTTCAGTCATATGATTGAAATGATTTCTGGAAAATGTGTGCACTGTGAAAATTTTATTCATGATAATTTACTAGTGAATATCTGTTTTTGGACCTGTATTCATGCCCGACATTGCATTGTGAACTATCTAGCCAAAAACAAAAACTGTACTGGGTGGTTCTTTCCATCTCATTTGTATAGTCTTTTTAGTTTTTCTTCAGGAGTCCTGAGTTCAGAGATCAGGAGATTTAACATATAGATTATTAAGGCACAGGAAAGTTCAGAAATTCAAAAGAAAAGATCCTTCCTTTGAATTAATTATAGAGTTTGAATTTATTTGTCTCTAGATCCTGAGCAGTACATTTTATATGGAATATGTATGGAGTAAATACATATGTCTCTGAAACATTCCAGAAAAAGCAGTGCAGTATCTGTTTCTTTTTTAAAAAGCGTGTCAGGAATTTTTAAGCTCTTAAATAATCAAAATGCTTTTACTTCTGTTTGTACAATATTCCTTTACATTGAAATAGCAAAAGGGGATTGAAGAGTTCTTTCTCTTGGGGTATAATGCCGTGTAGTCTAATGAAGGTCAGCTGACATTTCAGAGGAACATATTGCTACCATTTTTACAGTCAAAAATTAAGCCAAGCAAGAAACAAGCTTGATGCAGGCTTTAAGCTTTCTAGCTTGGTGTACTCTGTGACCATGAAGGTGGAGATGATGTGTTCCTCTGAAACAGTGGTTTACTTTCACCAGACTAGAACTCTTCAGAGCCACAACTGTGAGAAACTCAATCCAAAAGGGAGAAGATTGCCACATGCCCCCTGGACTGAAATGCCTCTGTTTTTTCCTTAATTTTTGTAATGCAAAAGAGTGCACAGGTTTATGTGTTCCCATTTCCAATTTAAAAAATCATGAAGAAAGCCATCTTCTGGGATGTGGTACCATGCAGAAATTGTGTTAACCGACATTTCAGAGGAACGTATCGCCTGCATCTTCAGGGTAGAAGACAAGAAGAAATCTGCGAGCAAACAAGCACAGCAGGTGCCACATACGGTTCGCTCACAGATTTCTTCTTGTCTTCTACCCTGAAGATGGAGGCGATACGTTTCTCTGAAATGTCGGTTAACACAATTTCTACACGGCGCCACATCCCAGAAGATGGCTCTTCACAGTTACCACCGTGAAAACCTCAAATCTTACTTAAAAAATCATGTTCATTTGTAATATACTTATGCTGAGATGGGTGAAGGCTCATATAGATTTCCTGGGCTCTGTCCCTTCTGCTGGTTATGTTGGGGTAAAGAGTAATACTTCTTATAGGTATTTAGGAGATGGCTTGTTTGAATCTTGGCTGTGATTTTGGCTTTTCTATTCAGAGATTGGTCTTGCTTTCCTTCAGTCCCTTCATGCAAATGCTGGGATAGTACCTAAATTGGTCCGTAGCCACTTACTTCCAACATCCTTTTCCAGTTATTCAGTAAATCATCTGTTCAGCACTACATAATCTGACGTACTGACAGTGTAATTAAGCAAACCAGAAACAAATCAAAATCCATCCTTTCTAAAGATTGTGTGAGAACTACAGAACCAGTATACATACTTCAATAATCCAAGCCATTTTGAAGCTTGGCTTTGTATGATATTGGGAAGAAAATAAGTGAAGAGATAAATATTGGCTCCTTCCTTTAACTGAGCCTTTGTTATATGCAGTCATATACACATGTATTTACTGTTGCAATATTTGTGATTCTCCTGCCAATCATAACATTGCTGCTTAGTGATAGCCACATTGTGTGAGGCTGCTAAAATACGAGTAGTAGTATCTTCAGTGATAGGAACTTATTTCGTGTCCAAAGAAGCACACTTCTGCGTAATGGTACCATTAATTAAGTTTCTGGCGCTTTAGCTGTTTAAGTGATCCACATAACTTTGCATAATATATCTTAGTGAAGCTGCTACCTGTGTTTATTATATTAATACTTGATAGGTGAGAAATAAAAGAACACTTTCTCTCAAAGTTGTGGGGCCAGAAAGAGAGCAGAGGAGATCGTTCCATGTTTTGTGAAGTCCTGTGAGACATGTTGCCTGTGCTAGTGAGAGGGTCTTTTGCAATAATAATCTGTGGTTCTGAACTATTAGCCAATTATGGCAGTTGTTTTTATCTTCAGGGCAAAATTTCAAAAAATCATTTTGTATGGATTTGTATAGAACTTGGCAAAGGCCGATATGAAAGTAATTAAGAAATACTGTACTGTATATTCTGGATTGCAGCTGTTGTCTGGTATTTGTTTGGACTTGTGGTGTGTCATTTGTTAAACTATATCCAATATTTTGGCTTATTAGTAGCCATAATATTGGATACTGCTCAACAAGCAATGGAACTCAGGACCCAAAGCTAATTCGGCACATAAAAAATGTATTGATTGTTTGAGAAAGCTACTGACAGAGAACGGTGAGATGGAGTAACAGGCCCTTTTGAGTCTGAATTTGGCTGTGAATGGCTGGTTTTCAGCTCAGGTTTCATTCTTTGCTCCCTATAAATACCAGATTTCAGTATATTCTCGGAAGGCTGCACCAAAGAGCATAAAACTTTGAGGTATGTGTCTTATCACAGCCTATAGCATTTAATCAATAATACAACTATTCTTCAGTTTACTTGATAAGGGATAATTTGTTTCTCTTGATTCTTAACTCGTCCATATTTCCAGCTTGTGTGAATGTATCCTTTTACCTTTCCGCAGTATGCATATTCTATTATACAGATTTATACAAAATAACTTTGTATCTCTTCACATTGAAGATGTGATATTTGAAACATTGGCTGACCAGTCCACTACTAAACAACTGCTGTCAAGAAGGCTTGTAACTGAAATTTAAACAAATACTTTAAAGCATTAATGTATTATGCAGTTACATTTTCTATGATAATGAAGTGTTCTTTCTTGTCTAGCCTAAGCTAATGTAACTCTCCAGGTTTTTCCTTTGCTCAGTACTGGAAGACTGCATAGTGTAATGTAAACTGCAGGTAGAATATATATATAAGATGTTAAATATATGTTATGATTTTATCATGGCAAAAGCACTTTCTACATAATTATTTTAATGTGTAATGCGTTTTCACATATAATCTTTACTGTGTTCTATGCAGTTGTTAAGGAGAACTTTATGTTCTGCTGAATGCTGTTCTTGCTGATGTTCTGCAGCAAACTGGTAGCGATTTTCTTAATTTTAGTGTTAATGCTTTTGTTATAATAATGTATGCTTATAAGTTATTTTTGTCAAGTAAGTTATAGTTGTTTTAAAATCAGTTTATGTTTTTTTTTTAATTTATGTACTTGTAATGTACAGAATTTTGTAGGATAATCAAAGTGATAAAGCGTTTGTAAATAATAGTGTTTGTAAATATATTTCATTGACCTTTCTGACACATCTCAATGTTAATTGACAACAAACATGTACATTGGTATGTCTGTGCATGGTGCACGTGTGCAAACAGTTTCGTTCACAGTTTATGCGAACTGTGACAGATTATTAAATAATATTTTGTATATCAGATTTGTCTCCTGTGTCGTAAACAGATTTACAGATGCTTGTGGTAATTCTTCCTTCAGATGAAAAGTTTAAGTTTATTAGTGTGTGAATGCATTATTTGCTACATGTATGAACTAATTTCGCTAGAATTACATTGACACTTGGATTTCTCTGTATTTTAGCCTGTTCAGATTATCAGCTTGCATACTTAGAAACTTAATTACATTTTACAAAAGGTTAATCTACTCTGTCCAGTGTGACTGATAAAATGTTTTTTTTCTTTCTTTCTTTCTTTCAGTCACACTGGGCGGAGTTGATTAACCTTTTGTATTGCTAGTGTGATGGACCAGGAACCAAATCAAATTAATTACATTTTTTTAACATAATCGGAATAGTATGGGAATATGTGAGATATCCATACCAAGGATGGTGCATCCATGGGGGCTGGTGGGACCACATTCTGCTTCATTTTTGAGTTTGAGAAATGTATATTTGGCATTGGAATGACAGTGAAATCTAGTAATAAAGACTGCTATACTACCATGCATTTGGTTGAGGCCAGGTTATAACCTGGCCCTCTTAGCGTGTTTTACTTGACATGACCAGCTGAGATGGAGTAATTACTGTTGATCTTGGTAACCACCTTGTAAGGAAGGGCCTCTCCAGTGTGGCTGGCCATAACTTAAATGACTTTCTTCTGGTCTGGGTCTGTTATGCAGCTAGACAGAGTCATCTTGAAATCCAACAGAGTCAGCTAGATATTTGCAGTGGGTTATCATTCTGTTACTAGCCTAGGCAATCCTCCTGGGCATTGCCCTGTCATTGGTAATTTGTCAGACCCCGGATATGGGTTCAGGGATCTTGATGTGCTGCATGGGTGTCCCTGTTGGATCCACATCTTGACACCGTGCCTCCCATGCGCCAGAAATACCACTGTTTGATCATGATCAGGGTTTTGTTGACGCCAAGATACCTTCCAATGATCCTCCGTGGAGCTGACCTAGGACTTGTCTACCTTGCTGCAGGGTACATCTTTTTGGGCTCTCTTGAATCATTTGTCAGCTGACTCTCACTACCAGGATGTTCTGCTGAACCCAGGAATGTTGAAAATGTTGAGATAATGTATTTAAGACCAATATTTTGCCAGGCTGTAAGCAAAACATCTGCAGCAATGAAAGTCTCTGAGATACAGGTGACACAAAAGCTGTGTTTGTGGCTTCTCTCCTGGATATGCCGCATTTCGAAAATATCCTTCAAATCCAAATCACAACATACATAGTTCTATGTGAATGAAGACTGGTGAACTTTGTTTAGAGTAATGAAGTAATACAGACATTAAAATAGGAAAAATGCAAGTAAAATATCTTATAAATATCATTAATTGCAACAAATACTAATAACAGCAAAAGCTGAAAAGGTAATTGATTTTCAAATGAAACATTTGTGTAAATAAAAAAGTGAGTAAGAAGGTTCCAGTGATATGTGGATTCAAATGTAAACCAATGCCATGAGTCCAAGGATAAGTCAAATGAAATTTGTCAGATTCACTTCTGTTTCTTGCTGTTTTTCCTGTCATAATAGCTTTCTGCTGCAGTTTGATTATCTGTCTTTGTATGGAGAGCAGAACTTATGCAGACAGTTTCTTAAACTTACATATGCACTCTAGTTACCTTACTCTTAATTACTTACTCACTTACCCATGGAGCTGAGCCCTTCTTGAGGAGCTGCCAGTTCTGCAGCTACTCAAGAATTTCCCAGCATTTTATGGTACCTGAAGGTTCATTACCATGTTCACAAGAGACCTCCACTGGTTCCTATCCTGAGCCAGATCAATCCAATCCATCCTATCTAAGATCCATTTTAATATTGTCCACCCACCTACATCTTGGTCTTCTCAGTGGTTTCTTTCCTCCTTTAGTTTCTGTTTGACAGTTACTGGGTTTTCCTCCTTTGGTGAGAGGACTGATCTGTCGTTGACCAGCCACTGGCAGCTGGTGTCATTTATAAGCTGTGTTGTGATCAGTTAATGTGAGCTTTTTATTTTGAAAAAAAAAGTATGCATACAAAAATGGGGATTTTTGAACATCTCTCATAAAAGTAAGAATATATAAGTACTATTAATATTGTCCCCACCAATGTTATTTCCACCTTATCGTGGTGGTGGGATTTGACAGCTCCTGAGTCCCTGAGAGCTATGCTGGCGGTAGTGTAGCTACTGGTAGGGCCACCCATGCCAGATAGGTCAAGGGGTAGGAGCCAGACGAGAGGGATACCCTGGTCCTCCAGGTTGGGGGTTGGGCGTGAGGCTAACGACCTCACACTAAAACTAAATTGTTCAGAAATCTGAGGAAAGAGTAGCCGGACGGACCTATTCAAGACGACCTGGAAAATGTTTAAAGGATTTCAGAATTAGATCTTGGAATGTATTATCTCTTTACAGAGCCGGAGCACTAAAAATGCTACTTGAACAACTAGATATCACTGCTATACAAGAACTGACACATAATACGTGCCAGCGAGAATAGAACCATCAAGAAAATGCTTAACACCAAACCAGAAGGAAATAGAAGAGTGGGAAGACCAAGGTTAAGATGGGAAGAATGTGTGTGTGTGTGGCAGGACATTAGAATTTTGGGTATAAAGAACTGGAGGAATGTAGTGTCGAATAGAGAAGAATGGCGAGCAATCCTCAGGAAGGCCAGGGCTCACAAAGGGCTGTCGTGCCAGTGATGATGATGATGATGAATATTTGTACACATACTTTTTTTAATTACATTTATGAATTTAGTTTATGAAATAACAGATGCCTTGCACAGATCTTTTGCCACCGGTCTGAAGAGCTCTGTAACTGACTGGATAATCTTTCGTCTTTCTCAGACAAAAGGCCCAACATTGTTGTCCTTCGGTTCTCGTACAGTTCTCAATCCAATAGGTTCTTGTTCATTACGAGACATCTTTTGTGAATACTTTGAGCACTTTGAGTGTACAAGTAATAGGAAACCTGGAATCTAGATGTCGCTGATGCATATTTGGGCATTCGTGCCGCTCTCTACTCTGCCCACTATTATCGTCGAGTTGCATATCCACATGTAGTAATCTGTGCCATGTAAAATTTTCTCCCATTGAGTATAATGTTGGCAATTCGTAAGGGTGTAAATGCAATGTCTAAGGCTTCAGAATGGCGAGGCCACTAGTACCTAGCCAACAAAAATTAGCAGAAAAATTAACACTCATCAATGACAGAGGTACTGGAATGCTGACAAGGATTTATAACATCAAGAAGGTAATTTCTATTTTAGTTTTAAATTAATTTTCGTTATTTCTGAGAAGAAGTTAATTTGGCCTGATGTCAGTTCTGTGTTAAGATAAAGCGTACAAGAAACCCACCCACATAGTCCGTATAGATATTATTTCTTTAGGACAGTGTTTTTCTACCGCCGGCCCGCGGCCCGGTACTGGGCCCTCGTCTTATAAAAATAATTTACCGGGCCGCGGTCTCACAAAGGTTGCGAACCGCAGCTTTAGGATGTACAGTTTTGGTTGTGTATAAGCGATATTTACATAAGTTTCACATGTTGGAATTAATTTCTCTCACGTTCCCAGTCTGAGGTGAATCTACAGGGAGGATGTTTACTCGCTTGACGAATGCACGGGTCTGCGCTTCACAGTGGCCGGTGCGCCGCCTGCCGCGAGGCGCACGCGGATTTTGCCATTGAAACAGCCGATAATGTTTGGAATGAAGGGAAGCGTTTAACTTGTAGACCGTTCCACTGCATTGTGTTTCACAGCGAGCAGTGCAGTTCAAGCGTGGGAGTTTGTTTACGATTTGTCAGCAGCAGGCACCAGTTATCAGCTCCATTAGCCATTTGTTCTCAGTTACATGTAGTGAGCAGTGTGGTGCGTCATGGTGCGGTGAGTAACATATATTTTTGTATGTCACCCATGTGAAATACGGATCAGCTAGAAAGTGTAGGTGAAAATTTTGACGTAAATTTTGTGATGAAAGAGTTCCCAGCAGAGAAACAATTCATAATTTGGTGAATGAACTCAGAACAACAGGACTCTTAATAGACAAGAATCAAAAACATAAGCGCCTAGTGCTTACTGAGAAGTTAAATGACATAGAGGCCAGACTTCAACATACACCTAGAAAATCACTGAAACGTCTGGGTCAAGAGACTGGGGTGTCAAAGTCTAGTGTAAGAACAGCAACACAATTGCTGAAGCCATCGAGTGAAAGTTGGTGCCTGGTGTGCTGTAAGTACAAGAAGGAAACAGTTCCAAAACATGTAGAGAGGAGGGAATTTTCAACACCTATCTGATCTGTGAATTGTAACTACTTCATTCCAAATGTTATTAGCCATCAGGCATGCTGATTCATTGGCAAAACTCACATGTGCGTTGCAGCCAGCGGTGTACTGGTCACTGTGAAGCGCAGAGCCGTGAACTTTTCAAGTGAGTAAAAGTTCTCCCTGTATTTATGTTGTAGTTTACCAGCATAATACATTATCTGCTACTTAATTAATATCCACAACAAATCATTGGTTGAATGATTGACTGATTGTACAGTATTCTCATGGAGTTGGGGGTATCCATGAAACTAATTAGGCTGTTTAAAATGTATTTAAATGAAACCTATAGTAAAGTCTGTATACGTAACCATTTGTCTGATAAGTTTCCTATCTAAAGTGATCTAAAACAGGGAGATGCTTTATCACCACTGCTTTTCAACTTTGCTTTGGAACATGCCATTAGGAAAGTCCAGGAAAACCAAGAGGGACTGAAATTAGTTGAGACACATCACCTGATGGTCTCTGATGATGATATGATTTTGTTGAGAGATAACATAAATACCATAAAGAAAAACACAGAAACTCCCAGTGATGCTACTAAGGAGGTTGGTCTAGAAGAAAATTCGGAGAAAACTAAGTATATTGTCATTTTTGGCCACGCCATAGCTCAAGCGGTTAGTTGCTGGCTTCCCACCATGGCGGCTTGGGTTCGATCCCGGGTCTGGTCAAGTGGGATTTGTGGTGGACAAAGTGGCGCTGTGGCCGGTTTGCTCTCAGTACTTTGGTTTCCCCTGCCAATCTTCATTCCACCAATTGCTCCATAATCACCCCCACCTATCATCTGGGGCTGGTACAATAGGCCAGAAGTGGCCACAGTACAAGGGACTTAGTCCCACTCCACTAGCAATAAAAAAAAATATTGTCATTTGTATGAGTGACTATAGATGGGGTTTGGATTGGTAACTGGATTTATTGGACACTTACAGATCATAACTACAAGTAACGATAGTGCTAGCACTAGTTCACACGCTCTGCAATTCACTGCAGTACACACTGTGACCAACATTCAAGGGATTACAGCACTGTTTAAAATATTAAGCTCATTGACACTTGCAGCCTTTTTTACTTTGCAAAAATATTAATTTTGCACTTGACAAAACCACCACAGAATTTGCCAGATGAGGAAATACAAGTTAACTATACTGGCATCAGGTATGAACTGAAAGGCTGGATGAATCATGATGCCTTGCAGCGTGTCTGTACAGGTCACACCATGACATCCTGCCTCAAGATTTGGAGGCAACTACATAAGCAAAGAGAACAGCATTACGGTGAGCAGCAGATTCCTTCATCACAACGACCTGTACACCTGATGATGGCCAGTTAGGCCGAAACACGTAGTGACAATAAAGAGAAAACGAGAAGAGAATAGTAACTGACGTTTCATATAAACGGCAAAGAAGCAGAATGCAGAGTCAAAATATTAATGTTCTATGAAGTGTTGTGAGTGCAGAATGAAAACCCCATTTAAGAGCTTGGGATATCTAATGTTATTAGGATCAGAGTCATAAGCCTTCTGGTGAATCAGGATGAAGAAAATATTAATTAATGGACATAGGATGGTAAATTTTGTATATGTTTCTTTCTAAAGAGATCCAGCGAGCTTGCAGACTTATGTTAGAATCAGAGACGGTTATGAAAATGTTGCCCATAAACAGTGTTAGTTTCCCATGAAATTGCCCTTATGTATTTTTTTGTATCCCAGTAACAGGCCATGGAGGCCCATAAGCTTGTGAGATGTTGAGGTTCCCACATCATCTAGACAATCAGCTCATAGATAGCGGCAAGGTTGTCAGCCCCACGCGCCGGCCACCCTTTACCCCCAAGAATATTCCTGGTACTCATTTCTGATAGAGGCTGAGTCAACCCCAGGCCCATAGTGTGGCTGAAAGGATTAGATCAACTGAAAAAAATCCAATGATCTCATCAGGACTTGAACCCGTGACCTTCCAGCTTGTAGCATAGTGCCTCGACCAACTATGCTACCACTGAAAGTAGATTTAGCTTAATGAACAACGTGGTTTTTGACAGAAAGAATGTGCCTTTCATTGAGAATATTTCTCACCTGATGGTGATGAAGCTTTTAGGGAAATCATTAATGGATGGGACTGCTTCACCATTTATCAGATCATGGTTAACACATTGTGGACCAGTGATTTAAATATTTAAATCACCCTGGGGCCACCATTATTAAACCTACTATCCTAACTTGTGCACTGTTCACTTAGAAATTAATATAAAATCTCCTAATTAATTTTATGAACTAAAATTTTTGGAGAACACTTACCAGTGCTCCTAGAAGTGCTTGAGGGTGTGGTATTTCTGGAAACATTCCCATCTATGAAGTGGCATTACACAGAACTTGCAAATATAGACATACTCCTTTTTTTGTGAACTGTGCAAACATGGCATTGCCTAGAAGGATGCTTCCCCTTGGAATGTTCACTCTTCACAATTTTCACGAGGGTATGTTTCTGCATATCACCCAAGAATCACCCTGGGAGGTCCACATGAGGCCTGCGTGGGGTGGGAGTTGATGGGCCCAGTCACACTAAGTCTGTGTCTGACTCTGGTTCTGCCGCCACCATCTGGTCTGTAGCCCAGGCCTTTGCCACATTCATTAGAAATGCTTTGTGTTTCAATTTTGAATCAGGGTTTAGATTTTTGTAATTTTTTTAGATTTTTTACTGTCCCCGCAATTTATTATCCACATTATCATCGAAGCTTCTGTCACTTTTACTGTCTGTGGCCACAATTCTTTGTTCTCCCCCTGTCACTCCCGCTCTCTGAATCACCATGACTACGCGTCTCACAAGGCAGGTCAGCTAGTTCATCGAAGAAGAATTTGTCCTTGTCCATACCCCACCAATAACTACTGGCTGATACATACAGCTTGAAGAGCAGCAAAGCATTTTCGTTTATAGTGGGTTAAAAAAGCAGCAAGGTCAAGTTACTGACAAGTAAGCAAACATTCAAGAGTTTTATTACGCCATTGTGTGCAACTTGGGTGGCACCAGAGCAAGGTATAGTGTGTTACAACCTAACGTGTCCAAAAATGATGATATCATGCGACCAGTCCGCCACATTTAAAAGCCAAAAGCATGATATGCAACCGGTCCTCAATCTGTAAAGGCATTTACATCATAAAACATATGAAAACAGATTCAGAAAGAAAATTAATCCAGAAAATTCACAACACACGATTGCTGTCTGGAGTCTTCTTTAGCTCCACGCTTCATCTGATAGGGAACTCAGAATGATAGCATGTGTTAAAATAATTAGGGAAGTCATGAACTTATTCTTTTTTTTTTTGTTTTGTTTCATTCTGGTCCATCACACTAACGATTACAAAGGCAAAAATAATACTGTCTGATGTGACTATTTAAGTTTTTTACTTGAGTAATAAAACTTAAATAGATGGTATTATTTTTGCCTTTGTCATGAACTTATTTTATGATTTTTGCTGCTTTATATAAATGATTGATTTGATGATGTCACATTTTCAACTTGCTAATTCATGGAATGTCATTTACCCCTTCACTCCGTTTGAGAGTAATTTTCCCTAGTGTTTTGACTTAACCTGTGGATCATAAGTCTTTTCTATATGGGTTACATAGTTAAAGTAAATTTTGAAATGCAGGGAAGATTGGAAACCTGCTGTCTGTTTAAAAGTCTTTCTGTATTATGTTTTATAATATGCAGTGATGCTTTCAGTGTATATAGAATTACTGGGGTTTTGGACTTTTTCCATCGTCTGCAATTCTAGGTAATGGAGGACATGAGGTTTCGGAAACTGGATCTGTTTCTGTCTTCAGGTGAGAAAGGAAGACACCTACTCAGTTGGGCGCATTAGAAAGAGCTAATGTCAATCACTGGGCAGCTCCTGTCAGATTTACCCAGCTATTTCAACATATAGGACTAGGCTACTTCAGTGGGCAATAACAAGAAACCATAATATAGAAATTGTGATAGAGCATGCACATGCGTGGAACTAGGATAGAAAAGGAGTTAGAAATTTGTGCTAGAAATCTAGCTGACAAAAAAACTTTAGAATCTGCTTTCAGTTTATGTTCAGATGCAAAGTCATTAAATTAGGTAAACATTGATAACATCAACTCTGAGTGATTAGTAAAACTGCTTAACCCTTCCGCGACGGATAGTATTTAAATCTTTTCCTACCGCCAAGCCGACAGGGTATTTAATTATTAAACAGAAAAATGCACTTATCCATGAAAAATTTAGTAACTCTCGCAAAAATAGGTATATTGAGATAAAATTTTCACAGAAATATTCATAATGAAACGAAGAACAAAACTATATATATATTTTTTAATATAATTAATGATAAATAATATTTTTTTACTCACTCGAACTGCTAAAAGTTGAGTTTGGTGTGGTAATCCTGAAAACACTGGTCAATACATAGCCCAACATCACAATCACTGCACCAGTACACGGTTTCTTTTCTTCTTTTGTTTTTTGTACACACTACACATCGCCTTTGTGGTCTAGCCTTTTTTCCTGATGGGGGAATTTTACTAATAAAATGTCTTTCACGAAGCCGGGGGATGGTGTTATCTGATGAATGACGTCGACCTTGTACTCTACGTGCTGCCTGCTCCTGGTCCGTAAACTTCAACAGCAACCCTTCTACCAGATTTACTCTGAATGCTAAGTGGTCTGTCAGTCTTTCCTGATTCTTGTTATAAATTATCATGGCATTTACCACTGTCGCATTCAAAAGGCGTCTGAAGAGTTTCATGTACCACTTATGAAGTCTTTTTCTTTCCACGTTGTAGTACTGTAAAAGCTGATCTTTCAAATCAACGCCACCCATCATTTCATTATAATCAATTATAATTTTTGGTTTTTTTATTTCTTTGTTTCTCTTTATATCTGTCTGTGTGTCGGCATTGTGAAATGTAGAGATCACGGAAACTGGTTTTTTGTCTTGCCACTTGAGAACAGTTATAGGACCTGCGTGCTGAGCTATGATCTCGCCCTTTCTCAACTTTGTGTTTTTTACAGTTGTTGGGACACCCTTTCTGTTCAACCTAAGGGTCCCAACACAGTCAGTGCCATGATTTTTTAANTTGGAATATTTTTCCTCGTTTTGTCAGCAACGTCCTTCAAAGCTAACACTGCGCAGGTCGGTGCACTGCACAGATGTCGGTGGCGTACGATTATTTAAAGAGTCGGTGCGGAAGGGTTAAAGAAGGTATGGACTGAAGTCAGCTTATTGCTGATTAATTGGGGTGAAACCGCAGTTGTAAATATTGTGCTGTTACAGTTTGTACTATATTTGTTTCAGGCATGTGGTGATGCAAAATCAAAACCAGGATTTTTATCTGATAAGACACTGGAATCTTCAATCAAATATATTGTCCGGCGATTTCCAAGCATAGACATAAAGGGAGTAAGTTCAATATTATTTTGGTGCTTCCTACATCATATTCATCCTAGGTTGTGCAGCTTGTCTGTTTGTCCACAAATCTTCATGCCTACAGATACAATTACCATCAGACATATTTTAATGTACTGAAAATAAATCTGAGCCATGTTTTCTACTTGGATGACTCAGGGATAGTTCCTTCTGCCCCAGTAACCTCCCCTCGTATATCCCTGCTGCTTTTCATGATAAAAAAATGTATAAGTCATGTTAATGTCCAGAAAAAATATAGTAAATGCTGAATGAAACCAACAGAGAGGTTTTTTACAGTAGGTTCTACATGGATTTAGCTTCGGACAAAATACCGCATAAAAGTCTCACTGTTGTAACCACTGTTTGTTCCTGCATAAGGGACATAATACATTTATGCCACTACAAATGTAAAGGACACTGTGCATGAACAACATTTTCCATGTTCCACTGGATAACAAAATACCCTTACCCACAGGTAAGGATAGTTTATACACTCTTGTTAATGGAATGAGGTGAATTTTAGCTGAAACCTAGGAAGGTGAATTTTGCTTCAACATCTTGTCTGTTTCATCTTTATGCATATTCAGCAACATTATACTGCAAGTTTTGCTGAGAATTTGATGTGGTTCTTCCCATTATTATTAAGCATTGGCTGATTGGAGGAGTTAGTTAAACTTAACTATCTGGAAAGGAGACCTTGGTGTTTGGATAACCAGTGTACATCAGAATGTGGAAAATCAGATTATGAATGTGGCAATGAGGATTTGTTTGGGGATTGGCTGTTCTTAGTATACATAAAAAATTTGGAACCAGACATTCTTGTATCCACAATTATTAAGAAATTAGAATTATTTGTAAAATTACATTTTTGCTGATGTAAACACTCTATTGGAAACTGAAGTATAAAGTCAGTATAGCCTAAGCAGCGAATGAGTGTTGTACTAATCACAGTAAGGTAAAATATGTTAAAGAAACTGCATAGTCTACCGAGAAGTAATCTGTAGCAGACATCTTAAGAGCATTAAAAATAGTTTATGATTGTCATGTGAAAAGTGCCTGTTTTGTTCTTTAAGCACTGCCTTCTGTGACATGTCATACCATGGCATATATTTATGTAATTAACTTCAAAGAAAATAATGAAAGAAAAAAGACGTAACAACCAGTTCATTTCTACAAATTAAAAGCAGCTAAACATGAAGTATATAGTATTAGGTATTTGCTTCCATGTAATTTCATGAACAACTTCCCATTCTCAGAGTGTTAAAAATATATGTGGTTTTCCAGCAAATTTAGCAAAATTGAGAGACTTTTTTATAATGAAGCATTGTGGTACACAGAGTATTCAGGTTGTGCAATTATCTTGAAAACCCTTAGATCTTCAGAGTAATTGTATTGAATGTAACACACATTTCATTTTTCTCCACAGCTCTTCTTCAAAATATTTTTCACGCTGATAAATATGTAATAAATCACACTAGAGATATGCACACCGCCTCTGTGGTCTAGTGGTGAGAGTTCCTGGCTACAGATCCAGAGGTCTGGGTTTCGATTCCCAGCGCTACCAGATTTTCTGAGAAGTAGTGGGTCTCGAACGGGTTCCACTCAGCCCCATGAGGATAATTGAGGAGCTATTTCAAGGAAATAGCGGCTCCAGAGTACAGAACCGAGATTAATGGCTGTGGGGACCCATTGCACTGACCAGATGACACCCTCTATCCGCTAAAGTTGGCAATAACTTTGTCAACAAGCGGTGGTCGCTCTGTCGGCATAGTTCACTTGTGAGCTACAAGCATGGAGAGAGATGCACAGAAATGCATATACACGTGTCTAGTAAACTGATTGTTGCAATGTACAATCTGAACAAAAATTGAAATTGTTTGGTAATTTTTCGCGATATTCTCCAGTGTCAGAATTCATTGACATCCATCACTTCTCAAGTTGTTTCATTTGTATAGACAGACAGAGAGATGGAGTGATCTTAATAGGTCCACCACAGGTTCATGAATGTGCCTAAAAATCGCACATGGATAAGCCACAAATAAGATAATCTCTACAGTATACTGTACATATGTTTGAAGATTACTGCCTTCTGGGAAGTGACACCTTGTATTTTGGAAAACTTTATTGAATTTAACAATCACATTGTTGTTTTCTGGCTGGTATCAATGGAATTTCAGAAAGCATGTCTCTTGCAACACAGACAATCCTCATTGGTGCATTATTTGCACTGTTATCACAAGTAACTCCACCATTTTATTTTCTGTGTGAATGGATGCACCTGCATGTATGCATACTCATTCACTTCAAATATTTAGTAAAATTTCAGACATTCTCAATTTGTAATGATTTGAAAGCAGCCTCCGTAGTCTAGAGGTAACGTTCCCACCTCATGACTCGTGGTACGTGGGTTCAAATACCCGGCGGAGGTCGTTGAATTTTTAAGGGCCGAAAAATTCAGGGAACAAGTCCTCCGGGAGGGACTTTAAGCTGTGTGTCCCATGTCGTAACTTTACGGCACGTAAAAGAACCTCATATCCCCAAAGGGGATCACTGAGCCAAATTTCAGGACGTTTCCCGCCCAACAATAGTCTCTGAGGCCTCTGATAGATGGGGGAAGCATTATAGACACCGCTAAGCAAGTGGCCGAACTCGCTTGCTCGGCGGGACTGATGGTACGCACCATTTATCGGTAGGGTAAAGAGACTGGTAGAATATCATAGAGGGAAGCACAATAGATCAAACTGGTCGTGGTGCATGGGGAAACCCACCCTCTCTAAATAACTAACTAACTAACTAATGATTTGAATATGCAGTGAAAATTTAATGGGAGATGGTTGTTTGCATATGTTTTGATTCTTGTGATCTGGTTTATTATTTGTAAGATTTGAGGTTTATTATTTGTTTTAAAGTCAACACATATGCATTTGAAATTGATTCTTGCATTTTAATTTTAATCCTATCTTTAGTTGCAGGCAATCACACAAATTCGCAATGAAATCATCAAGTCATTATCGCTCTACTATTATACATTTGTTGATTTATTGGACTTCAAAGACAATGTATGTGAACTCCTGACTACCATGGATGCTTGTCAAGTTCACCTTGATATTGTAAGTTTTGTCCACCATCCTTTTGTTAGGTCTTTATGCCATTCAGCTCTTTATGCAATATTTACACAGAAGTCACTGCTGTAACCAGCGAAGATTCACTTCAGAACACATTATTACAGATCATGAGCCACTGACATAGTGAGCAAGCAGAAAGCTTACCTCACTTGTTTTCAGAACACAGAGAACATGATGCCTAGGCAGAGAAAATATTTCAGAAACATCATGCTCATCCTTTATCTTCTATGAACCCAGTTCATGCTATGTATTTTCTTTACATATTGACTGTTCTTTGCTCTGATAGGTTTAACCAGAGGGAGCACAGAGGATTACTGGAATGAGTACTGTTGGTCCACATGTACAAATAGGAATGCTGACAGTAGTGTGCATATGTTATAACAAGATTGAGGTTATGAAGCAATAATCATTACAAAATTTTTTGTGAATAATTAAATTCCATGACCTAACATTGAGAATATTTGGGAGTCTAGATAAATTAGGCCATATGATTGAAGTTTTTTTATATTCTTCTGCCTGCTGAGGATTCTGTTAATGGTATATTTGAACTTTGCCTGGAAAATTTTATGTTCACATTTATGTATACTGTACATTATACCAACCATCTTACAAGCATGTAATAAAATTCTTATAGTTATTCATTGTTTCTTCCTCACTGCCTGTTTTGACTGCAAGTGGCCAGCATCCAGTGAAACATAAATAAATCATTGCTAAAATATGTATAGACTGATTTTTTTTTTAATTAAAAGGTAATGCTATTCAAAAGTATAACATAAATAATATAGTCCAGTCTGACCATTCAAACTATGTTTTATCAATTTTACATTTTTATATACCATTATATTTTAATGTGCTTATGAGACACTTGGTATTATAAACAGTATGTGTAGCTTATAGAATAGTGACTCTGGGCCTTTTGCACTTATGCCCCACCATTCATCTTACCAAAGGTCTGCATTCACACCATGGTAAAAAAAAAAGAGCATCTCTTTCTCAGAAGTTAAATTTGACAGTTATGTACATTTTAATATTATACTGGTCATTATTGGAAGCCCGTAAGAGTTTGCAGATTCTAAATATTTTTATTTTTTGTTAATATCATTTTATAAAGCAATTTTAGTTTTGTATCATTTGTGATTCTCACAGCAGTGGTTAATGAAGAGGGCTGAAGATGTTGGTGACATGTTTGTCCGAAAATTCAGTTGGCTTTTATCAGACTACACATCATTATAGATCACGAGATAAAACTCTTCAATTTTATTTCTGTTAGCATAAATATGATTATGGTGTAGCATTAATAACAAGCTTGTGCTTAGAATGCAAGGAAGTTTTTGTGTTACTGAAATACTTATTATTCCTGAGATGATGTACCACCCAGCCAACTATCAACTTCCACCAGTGGGTTGCGTGACACTTGTTGAGAAACACTGTTACAGAAGAGAGCAGGATATAACCCTACAAAGTCATTTCACACTTCATGTTATTAAACAGCTCTTTTATTTTTCAGACCTTAAATTTTGAATTAACTAAGGCATACCTTGACTTGGTAGTCACATATGTAACCCTTATGGTGCTTCTGTCAAGAGTTGAAGATAGGAAGGCTGTTCTAGGCCTTTTTAATGCTGCACATGAAATGGTACATAATCACAGGTGAGTATATATGTATGTCATAAATGGATTGGGGAAGTGAGACACTTTTAACTCCAACAGCTGTTTGTATCTACTTACATTGACTACTGCTTTATGTTTGGCTGTGCCATCTAGTTATACAGGGTGTTTCACGACTTTAGAACTGCAGGAGGTGATTTCCTAGGTCTTTGTGATCAAAAAAGTTCATATAAACATGTGTCCGATTTTGGACGGTTTCAGAGTTGTGACAATAAACGGAACAAAATAATAAACCAGCATAATACATGATACATTTAAAGTATGAATGTAAAGTTAACTTTGTGAAATTACCTTTAATTTGAATTGATTGGTGCTTAAAGCTGATTTTCGAAAATGTCACCACCGGCTACAACACAGGCTGCCACTCGGTTGTGAACCGTGCGGGTAGCATGTAACAGCTTCAGCTGGCTGTTTCTTATGTGGTCAGCGGCGTCCAGAATGCGATCGAGCAAAGCATCTTGGTTCACACTAGGGCGTGTACGGGAATGAAAAAACGGTCATAACTCCGTAACCATCCAAAATCGGACACATGTTTATATGAACTTTTTTGATCACAAAGACCTAGGAAATCACCTCCTGCAGTTATGCCCTAAATTCATGAAACATCCTATATTTACATGATGGAAATAGTTGTCTGACTTGACCAAAATGTGCTTATCAACAGATTTATAGAACTACCCTCCTGTAATTTGTGTCTTTACTATACTTGGTTCTTGTAGGTAGGTCAGGCTATAAGATTCTGGCCCCAGAAGTAAACCTTAAAAAAAATTTTTTTTTAATTATGTTGTTCTCACATAACGTGTAGTATTTGTATAAGGGCTCTTAACTATGTATATTAGTTATTTTTCCTTTTGGACAGTGAAATAGTTATTAAATTGTATACCACCACTAAGGCATATTACCATCTTGTTACCACTTACTGTTGGCAGATTTTGTACAATATGTGTCAGAGTCTGCCCTCATAGGATGGATGTGTGTTGCCTCTTTTTCTGTCCAGGATGAGAGCATGCCAAGTTTCAGTCAATCATTTATTTGTGCTTTAAGTGCAGAATTGTATTCAACACGCTAATGACATATTTATAACAGTATTTAAAGCAGCAGTGTCAAACATGTGGCCTGTGGGCCACATGCGGCCCCCATAGCCACAAAGTGTGGCCCCTCAACTTTTAGAGCTAATTGATATTAAAATCAGTATTAAAATTTTAGTAGAAATATTTTTTGTAAAGACAATTTTCCAACAGTCCAGAAGAAAAGAAGTCTCAGGCAGACATAAATTAGCAGCCTGCAGGAAATTCAATGTTTTACAATTTCTAACATAACTGCTTGTCTAATCTCTCTTTTTACATATTGAAAAGCTGTTTGATACTTGTCAAAAATGGCATTTTCTTGCTTTTTAAAACTAAGATATGTGACTTTAGGTAATTATATTGAAATTATTCCTAAATAATAAATATAATTAAATTTCCTTGTATCAAAGTCTAATGTATTTTTCTATTTTGAAGTGTGGCCCTGGACTATTATTTATAGGGCTGAGGTGGCCCTCTGTACAATTTGAGTTTGACATGCCTGATTTAAAGTATGAATACTTAGAAATGGATGCTGTATATGAGTTCTGTACAGAGTTAATTTTGTCATTCAGGAAACCAGCAACTGTCTGACAGTAACAAAAATTTTGTCTTGGACGCAGATGGGGTTTGACACCAAGACAGACTGGCTGACTGTCAATTGTAATATAACTTCGACTTTGACTTGAGAGCCAGTGAATGGACAGTCATGGCTAGAAGTTAGTCACCATTGTGAGTTAGTTGTGAGGAAATCACCAGCTGGTAAAGATGGAAGCAGAGGACATTGTTGAGATCCATTACTGGTTAACAGCTAGTGAAGACAAACTGAAAATACTTAGTGTGTGTTATAGTGAGAAGTCAAGTGCGTGAAGTAGTGAGAGCATTACAGGGTGATTCAGAAAGATGGACACAATTTCAATTGGCTATATTTCCTGAATTATATGTTGCATTTGAATTCTGTAAAGTACATTTGATTATACATACATGGAAGTTTATAGACGTTCAATGTGCCCCCCTCCGGCTGCACGGATAACATCTAGACGGTAGCTGAATTCATCCCACACTCAATGACAAATATCTTGCGTCACTGAGTTCACGGCAGCTGTGATACGGTTTCTTAGGTCATTCAAATTTGTGGGAAGAGGTGGTACATAAACTGCATTTTTCACGAATCCCCACAGGAAAAAGTCGCAGGGTGTGAGATCAGAAGACCTCGGTGGCCAGAACTGAAGTGCCAGGTCTTCATTCCCCATGCGACCTATCCATCGTTGAGGTAGAGATTCATTCAGGTGCCAATGGGGTGGAGCTCCATCCTGCTGGAAAATGTAATCTCCTGAATCTCCATTCATTTGAGGAACAAGCCAGTTTTGCAGCATTCTAAGATACGTTACTCCAGTAACCGTGTTTTCGTTAAAGAAGAAAGGTCCATAAACCTTTGTTAACGATATTGCACAGAACACATTAACTTTTGGGCTGTCCCTCACATGTTCGAGTGTTACACGGAGATTTTGTAGCCCCCATATGTGAACATTGTGCCTGTTGACCTTCCCACTCAGGTGAAACGTAACTTCATCGCTAAAAATTACGCGAGGCAGAAACAATTCATCTTCCATGTTTTTGAGCATATGGTCACAAAATTCTACACGCTTTACCTTATCGTTTGCGCGAAGAGCCTTTACCAGTTGTAGGTGGTATGGTGGTATGGTTTGTACACTAACTGGCACCTCAGTACACGCCAGACAGTTGATTGCGATAGTATAAGTTCTCTACTAGCACTACGGGTTGACTTCATTGGGCTACGCTCAAAGCTCACTCGAATGCGCTCCACGTTCTCCTCCGATACCCGCGATCGGCCCGGGCTTCTACCCTTGCACAGAGAGCCAGTTTCATCAAATTGTTTATTCCAGCGATAAATGCTCTTCCTCGTTGGAGGTTGGATGTTAAACTTACGATGAAATGCACGCTGCACCGCAGTCGCAGACTCACCTTTACTGAACTCACGAATGCAAAAATTCTTGTGTTGCATAGTAGCCATCTCGCTTACAACTGACACGGTGCTGGAGTGCTCTAGCGGTAGTAGTAGAAACTTTACAACATCCTCTTTCAAATGTACTTTACAGAATTCAAATGCAACATACAATTCAGGAAATATAGCCAATTGAAATTGTGTCCATCTTTCTGAATCACCCTGTATAATTACTTGCAGTTGCAAGTTGTAAGAGTGCAGTATATCCAGTTATTAATCGAAACCCTACGTCTAGTCACTAACACATGACAATATGCTAAAACAGAACTTAGATGCATGCAAAGTCTAGTAGCTGTCAGCGGTAGCAAAATGCCTTGGCATTCTGACACCAATATAAGAGGCCAATTTGTGGAGAAATGCTTAATTCATATTCCAGGTAACCTACACCTGGATCATGATGTTTCTTCATAAGTTTAAAAAAAGGGAACAGTATCACTCAAGTTCTGCATCTTGGAGTCTTTGGTGTTTTACTGAATTCATGTACAGGTATCACTCGTTATACCCGTTCTCACTTTACATTATTGTGCTATAATGTGAATTCATATCTGCAGTAAATATTGTTAGACACCTGCGCAATCACCTTACATGCTGCACATAGTTGCTTAGGTACAGTCAGGCATCTCATTCTCTCTGCTGTTGTAGACCATTTTGCATGTCAACTTTTTATCTTCTTAGTTTTGTGCATCCCATAAACTTAAAACTGACCATCATGAGCAAACATAGAAGCAGTGATGGAAGTGCTATGAGTGACAAGGAACACCTGAGGAAGTAGTAGATGTGATTAAGAGCTACGAACGTAACAGATGTGTGGTTGACATAGCCAATGCCATGGGAATCCCTGAGTCAGTTCTAAGAATTACAAGGAAACAAGCTGAGGAAATTAAGGAATGCTGTAAAAATGCAGTGAGAACGATGGCTAGTAAGCTCACACAAATTAATGAGTGAATTATGGAATAATTGTAAAGGATGCTGGCTCAGTGGATTGTGCATCAACACCAATGTGACATTCCTCTAACCACTGTGACCATTCAGGCTAAAGCAAGGAGTTTGTTTGAGAACCTGAATGCTACTTCATCCAGATCTGAAAGTGCAATCATTTGCTGCTATTGCTGGGTGGCTTGAACACTTTTAAAGGGTGAAATTGATTCCACAGCCTTAAGGTGACCTAACAAGCTAAGCTGCATCAGCTGATTTAGTTGCTGCTGAGAAATTTCAAGCAGTCCTCCAACTGACAGCTGAATGACATGGATATTTGCCTCAGCTAATGTTCAGTATGGATGAGACCAGGTTCTGGAAGCCGTGGATGAGCAAAATATTTGTGTCAGTCCAAGAGAAGGTGGCCCCAGGACTTGAAGCTTCCAAGGATCACTGCACCCTACTGTTAGGTGGAAACATATATGGAGATTATAAAAATATAACTTATGATGATACATCATTCAGAAAACCCTCAAGCACTCACTCGTTAGCCTGTGGGGGTTTTGACTGTTTTGTGGCAATCTGGTAAGAAAGCTTGGATTACAGCAAACTTATTTGAATCTTATTTTGCCAGTGAACTCCTTCATGTATTGAAGGATTACTGTGAGAGAGTGAACATACTCTTTTTATAATATATGACAGTTTCTGGAAATCAGTTAATCACATAACAAGGAATACCTGTATTGTGAATCAGTGATTCTTGTTAGCAGTACCATAATTTTGTTGCTCTGGAAAAGAGTTAGGTTTATGTTTATAGATATGGGATTTTTAGTGGTATATTCTTGAAGGTTGAATATTTTAATTTAATATTAATTGCTTATTCAGATAAATACATGACTTTCTTACAGTGATCAAAGTATTCCTCGCCTGGGCCAGATGATTACTGACTATGATCCACCCATTAAGAAGCTGTCAGAAGAATTTGTGCCCCATGCCAAACTGCTCATTACAGCACTTGTGTCCTTGTGTCCAATTTATGGCAACAGAAATCTTTCTGCAGAAAAATGGAGGTAAGCAATAGAAACATAATTTTGGACTGATAGCATAGTCTAAAATTTTGGAACACTGAAATTCACACTGCAGTGGTACATGTTTTTAATGATCTTTTTTCTTGTAATTCTTTACAGATCAGACCAAAGACTTAGTTTGGCTGGAAACCCAGGCCAGCTACTGAAACCATCACAGACACCCACAATGTCTTGTGAATACCTGTCACTTGATACAATGGAGAGGTGGATAATATGTAAGTGTTCTCAGTATTTGCTTCTTTGAAGCATGAAATTGATATGCTGCTTGCATAATATTGTGCAAAGATTTGAGAGAGTATTTTTTTGCTAGTGGGGTGGGACTAAGTCCCTTGTACTGCAGCCACTTCTGGCCTATTGTACCAGCCCCAGATGATAGATGAGGGTGATTGTGGAGCAATTGGTGGAATGAAGATTGGCAGGGGAAACCGAAGTACTCGGAGAAAACCTGCCCCAGCACCACTTTGTCCACCACAAATCCCACTTGAACAGACCCAGGATCGAATCCGGGCTGCTGCAATGGGAAGCAAGCGACTAACCGCTTGAGCTATGGCGCAGCCTGAGACAATATTAATACAGTTTGACGAGGCATTATTTGTGACATGATATATTTAAGATAAATTTTGCAAATAAGTGCACAGACTGTCTGCTTACATTCAGGATATGAAAATGCACATGCTGATTTGTATACAGTGGCCGTCTTGTAGTGCACTCAATTTCACCTGTCACTTCACAACATGTTTCGGCAACATAGTGCCATCATCAGGTGTCCCAATTACGTCAATCTGTTGCATTGCTTGCCCTCATATGTTTTCACAACACCATTTAAAAAGTATTTAAAAAGTCCGTATTTGTCAACTATGATAAATTTACACTCGCTAAAACTTGTTAAGATAATTCATCTTATTTGTCTTAATTAAAACTTGCATGTGGTTCGTTCACTACGGGGTCGTTTTTCTTATTTTCTGTGTAAACCACGTCTTGTGATGTGTGTTCCCTTCTTAGCTGCGAGCTTGGCTCATTTTATATTTCATGGAACCATAATTTCTGTGAGTGAAAGTCATTCATAGCCTTCACATAGTTTTGACTCCAATGATCATTTTGTTTTTCAGCCTTTATATAAAGTACTCTTGATATTCAAGTTAAGCCGTTAAAACACAATAGTAACTATATGTACCATCAGGTTAAACTAAATTTTATGCAAAGAATGTATTTATTTGTTTCGTATGATTCTCAGAAGCTGGGGTAGCGTAGTCAGTATTCTTACTGGCCATGCGATGGATGACTGGGGGTTGGAGTTCAAGTCCTTGTAGACTTATTGTCTTATTGTAAGATTTGAGGTTTTCATGGTGGTGACTATGAAGAACGCAGTCTTCTGTGATGTGGCACCATGTGTATGTGGTGTTAACTGACATTTCGGAGGAACGTATCACCTCCATCTTCAGAGTAGAAGGAAAAGCAGACTACTTATACCGGTTCTCATGGTCTCTTCGCTTGCGGATTTCGTATATTTTTCCTTCTACCCTGAAGATGGAGGCGATACGTTCCTCCGAAACGTCGGTTAACACCACATATACACGGTGCCAAATCCCAGAAGACTGCTTTCTTCATAGTCACCGCCGTGAAAGCCTCAGATCT